GAAAAAGTAAGCTGCCATGGTCAAGCTACAGTAGGGATATTATTATTATTATAAATAAATAGAAATAAAATAAAATAAAATAATAAATAATAATAAAAATAATAATAATAATAAAAATAATAATAATAATGAAATTTATAAATAAAACAATGGCATAAAAGCATTGTATAAAATAAATTAAATAAAAATTAAAAAATAATAAAACTCTTCCAGCCTGCAACAAAAACTGTTTCTCCCGGAAATACGGACATCCCGCCAAAAGACGTTAAATTCAATCTCTTCACAACGAACCTTAGTACGGGCAACACGTGTCCAACTTCGCTCTGTGATATGGTGCATTAGGGATACAATTACGAAGTGACAAGTTATGGTAAATTCTTCATTAAGTTCAGTTAACGTGGTAGCAAATGAGTTCGATTTACCTAGTTTCATACAAGCATTGATAAGTCATTACCCTAGTATAATTTCACCTAATAATAGTACAAACAAAGGGTACTGCGGTGTCTTGTGGAGATTTTTGTACCCGAAAATTATTTAGGATAAAAAACCAAGTTCAGAACTGAAGCTAAGTGCGTAAAGGCAGTTTTGAAGAAAGGAAACACAACAACCGTTTGAGTTCAGTTAATTTACTTCAAGGAGAAAAAAAAAAGTTGAAAGGTAAAAGGTTATATGTGTGTTTTGCAAACAAAGTGCGTTTGCGGTCTTAGCTTGTTTGAATATTCGTCTTCCTAACTGGTAGGACGGTCAGTCTGTAGCGGTGGTAGTGAGCTTCTAGGTAGCTGTCTTAGCTTCCCTGTGTTGCGGGCTCGTATCCGGGTTGGGCGTCACACATGTCGACAGCGGCAGCTTCTCTCTGGCCATCTAGGTAAAGGCAGTCCGTCACGCTGGGTGCAAGATACAGGTGGACGGGTCAAGGCTAAGAGCCAGTCGCAAAGGAAAGCGAACGAAAAAAAGAGGCCGAATTCTGGGAGTCGGACTTTATACAGGAGTCTGCTGAGGGTACCACCTGACCTCTATCAGGGCAGTGAATGGGCCCTCCTTTAGGACCATTCCACGTGTGACCGTTAAATTCCAACAGTCTATCATCAGAATATACACAGAGAGCCAAGCCTGTGTTCACTAAACCTACAAGACTTCCAAGACAGAGATTAGAAGCCGCTGAGGTAGAATGTAAAAAGTCACTTAAATGTGTAGAGGACCGAGTGGGTTTGTGAGTTGTTGTATTAGAGACACGTGCTATTTATTCCTGCTAGAAGAAGGTCCAACTACAAGAAAATGGCGGACTCAAATTGAATCCAACCGGAGATGTAAAGAAAACAAACAAACAAGATATATATATATATATATATATATATATATATATATATATATATATATATATATATAAAACAAATATGTACTAAACAACACAATTTTACAATGGACATAGACAATAACATTTGCATGTGTGAACATTTGTGTTTGTTCTTTGGTGACTGTTCGTACGTGCGTGTATGTGTGTATAATGTTCATGGCGTCTTCCCACAAGTGGGTAGACGTTATCATTTAAGAGCGCTTACATTGTAGATGTGTTCGCTGAAATGAAAAAGAGAACGAGACGAGAAGTCGCCCAGTATTCATAGTATAGGGAGAATGACCCCTATTGACAATTAGGGAATTAAAGGGGAGCTAACTCCGACAAATGCATCACTCGAATGGTGGGTGGTCATCTCCTCTTCATACTGATAATGGGACGGTTCGTATCGAGCGTAATTAGCTTAAAGTTATTTTTTCTAAAATAGATTTAACTGCTGCCTATGACGAGATAAAAAACGATGTAGCAGTAACAACATCATTCAGTCTGTTTGAATTCCCCAATATGCACTTCAGTTTAAAGAATGCCGCAGCTACATTTCAGCGTTACACGAATAAGATATTTTCAAACGTAGATTGTGTATGCATTTACATAGATGCTATTTTAGGGTTTTTTGGGGTTTTTTTTAGCGATAATGAATTTCAGCATAAGAAATACTTCGATACATCATTTAATATACTCCACGAAAATAACCTTAACATTTCATTGGCCAAGTGTACACTTCACGTGTCGAAGCTAAACTTTCCCACTAGCAAGAAGATTAAAGAATTAGAATATTCCCCAGCTTCTAAAGATTAAAATAGCCTGCACAGATTTGGGGGCATGGCGGAGTTCTATTGAGAGTTAATCCCTAACTGTGCGTCTATTGTGTTACCTCTGCCTGGACGATACCCCAAAGCAACGTTTGAGTTGAATGAAAAATGAAACAGAATCCTTTAAAGAAATAACACACAGATTGACAGACATTACGACATGAGGCCACCCACAAACTTCAGCCACAGACTATCAATTAATCACTGACATCAGTCAACATGTAGCCGGTGCTACACTGCACCAGCTGATCGATAATAAATCAGTACCTCTCGAATTCTTTTCGAAGAAGCCTCAAGCCCAAACAAAATATTTCACATTCGATAGAGAAATCCTAGCAGCTTATTTGGCAATGATTCACTTTCACCGCCTAGTAGAAGGTAGTAGCATTGTTTTATTCACAGACCATAAGCCGTTAAGTGGAGCCTTCTACAAGCAAACTGCTGCGAAAACGGATCACCAGCAACGATATCGCTCGGTACGTGCTGGATATCTTGCAGATGTGGCGCATATAAAAGGAAGACAAAATATAGTTGCAGACTGAATGTCCAGACCAGCGACTTGCCAGTGAAAATGCATGCGCAAACAACTGGCCACGAAATAAAATCATATCAGAACTTAAAAGTATACTCCGTGTCGAAATGAAGGTGGCTCAGTCCTCTGTAACAATTACACTATGCACCCTAGGCCGTTCATCCTTGAGCATCTCCGTAAAGCTGTTGCTGCAGCCTACATTCTTTAGTAAATCCAGGAATTAGACCGTCAACAAAATTAATAAAATCCAGATACTTTTGGCCAAACATGGACAAAACTATTAAGAAGGTCTGCGCAGAAAGTGTTGTTAGTCAACCAAGAGATATGGGCTTAATATATTCGTTGCCGACAGAAGTATCCCCTCACCGGGTTCATCAACCAAGAGATGTGGGCTTAATATATTCGTTGCCGACAGTATCCCCTCACCCATCAACCAAGAGATATGGGCTTAATATATTCGTTGCCGACAGAAGTATCCTCGAATCGGGTTCATCAACCAAGAGATATGGGCTTAATATATTCGTTGCCGACAGAAGTATCCCCTCACCGGGTTCATCAACCAAGAGATATGGGCTTAATATATTCGTTGCCGACAGAAGTATCCCCTCACCGGGTTCATCAACCAAGAGATGTGGGATTAATATATTCGTTGTCGACAGAAGTATCCTCGAATCGGGTTCATCAACCAAGAGATGTGGGATTAATATATTCGTTGCCGACAGAAGTATCCCCTCACCGGGTTCATCAACCAAGAGATATGGGCTTAATATATTCGTTGCCGACAGAAGTATCCCTCACCGATCAACCAAGAGATGGGGATTAATATATTCGTTGTCGACAGAAGTATCCTCGAATCATCTAAGAGATGTTCATCGTTGCCGACAACCCTCACCGGGTTCATCAACCAAAGGATATGGGCTTAATATATTCGTTGCCGACAGAAGTATCCCCTCACCGGGTTCATCAACCAAGAGATGTGGGCTTAATATATTCGTTTTCGACAGAAGTATCCTCGAATCGGGTTCATCAACCAAGAGATGTGAGATTAATATATTCGTTGCCGACAGAAGTATCCTTGCATCGTGTTCATCAACCAAGAGATATGGGATTATATTCGTTGCCGACAGAAGTATCCCCGAATCGGGTTCATCAACCAAGAGATGTGGGATTAATATATTCGTTGCCGACAGAAGTATCCCTCACCGGGTTCATCAACCAAGAGATATGGGCTCCCGACAGAAGTATCCCCTCACCGGGTTCATCAACCAAGAGATGTGGGATTAATATATTCGTTGCCGACAGAAGTATCCCCGAACCGGGTTCATCAACCAAGAGATATGGGCTTAATATATTCGTTGCCGATATCCCCAAGAGATATGGGCTTACCGTTGGACAGAAGTATCCTCGAATCGGGTTCATCAACCAAGAGATATGGGCTTAATATATTCGTTGCCGACAGAAGTAAGTATTCCCTCACCGGGTTCATCAACCAAGAGATATGGGCTTAATATATCGTTGCCGACATCCCCTCACCGGGTTCATCAACCAAGAGATATGGGCTTAATATATTCGTTGCCGACAGAAGTCCCCTCACCGGGTTCATCAACCAAGAATATGGGCTTAATATATTCGTTGCCGACAGAAGTATCCCTCACCGGGTTCATCAACCAAGAGATAATTCGTTGCCGACAGAAGTATATCATCAACCAAGAGATATGGGCTTAATATATTCGTTGTCGACAGAAGTATCCCCTCACCGGGTTCATCAACCAAGAGATATCCGACAGAAGTATCGGGTTCATCAACCAAGAGATATGGGCTTAATATATTCGTTGTCGACAGAAGTATCCCCTCATCCAAGAGATATGGGCTTAATATATTCGTTGCCGATATCCCTCACCGGGTTCATCAACCAAGAGATATGGGCTTAATATATTCGTTGCCGACAGAAGTATCCCTCACCGGGTTCATCAACCAAGAGATATGGGCTTAATATATTCGTTGCCGACAGAAGTATCCCCTCACCGGGTTCATCAACCAAGAGATATGGGCTTAATATATTCGTTGCCGACAGAAGTATCCCTCACCGGGTTCATCAACCAAGAGATATGGGCTTAATATATTCGTTGCCGACAGAAGTATCCCTCACCGGGTTCATCAACCAAGAGATGTGGGCTTAATATATTCGTTGCCGACAGAAGTATCCTCACCGGGTTCATCAACCAAGAGGTTCATCAAGATATGGGCTTAATATATTCGTTGTCGAAGAAGTATCCCTCACCGGGTTCATCAACCAAGAGATATGGGCTTAATATATTCGTTGCCGACAGAAGTATCCCCTCACCGGGTTCATCACACCCCTCACCGGGTTCATCAACCAAAGGGGCTTAATATATTCGTTGCCGACAGAAGTATCCCAACCAAGAGATATGGGCTTAATATATTCGTTGCCGACAGAAGTTCCCCTCATCATCAACCAAGAGATGTGGGCTTAATATATTCGTTGTCGACAGAAGTTCCCCTCACCGGTTCATCAACCAAGAGATATGGACAGCCCCTAATATATTCGACAGAAGTATCCCCCCCTCACCGGGTTCATCAACCAAGAGATATGGGCTTAATATATTCGTTGCCGACAGAAGTATCCCCTCACCGGGTTCATCAACCAAGAGATATGGGCATATATTCGTTGCCGACAGAAGTATCCCCTCACCGGGTTCATCAACCAAGAGATATGGGCTTAATATATATCGTTGCCGACAGAAGTATCCCCTCACCGGGTTCATCAACCAAGAGATATGGTTCCGACATCAAACCAAGAGATATGGGCTTAATATATTCGTTGCCGACAGAAGTATCCCCTCACCCAAAGATATGGGCTTAATATATTCAACCCCTCGCAGGTTCATCAACCAAGGGTTCATCATCAACCAAGAGATATGGGCTTAATATATTCATTGCCGACAGAAGTATCCCTCACCGGGTTCATCAACCAAGAGATAAATATATTCGTTGCCGACAGAAGTATCCCCTCACCGGGTTCATCAACCAAGAGATATGGGCTTAATATATTCGTTGCCGACAGAAGTATCCCCTCACCGGTTCATCAACCAAGAGATATGGGCTTAATATATTCGTTGCCGACAGAAGTATCCCCTCACCGGGTTCATCAACCAAGAGATATGGGCTTAATATATATCCCTCACCGGGTTCATCAACCAAGAGATGGGGCTTAATATATTCGTTGTCAGATCCCTCTGGTTCATCAACCAAGAAGTTTATCCCCTCACCGTCATCAACCAAGAGATATTCGTTGCCGACAGAAGTATCCCCTCACCGGGTTCATCAACCAAGAGATATGGGCTTAATATATTCGTTGCCGACAGAAGTATCCCCTCACCGGGTTCATCAACCAAGAGATATTAATATATTCGGGACAGAAGTATACCGGGTTCATCAACCAAGAGATATGGGCTTAATATATTCGTTGCCGATATCCCTCACCGGGTTCATCAACCAAGAGATATGGGCTGTCGATACAGAAGTATCCCTCACCGGGTTCATCAACCAAGAGATATGGGCTTAATATATTCGTTGCCGACAGAAGTATCCCCTCACCGGGTTCATCAACCAAGAGATATGGGCTTAATATATTCGTTGCCGACAGAAGTATCCCTCACCGGGTTGTCAACGACAATATATTCGTTGTCGACAGTATCCCCACCGGGTTCAAGACAGATATCCCCTCACCGGTTCATCAACCAAGAGATATGGGCTTAATATATTGTTGCCGACAGAAGTATCCCCTCACCGGGTTCATCAACCAAGAGATATGGGCTTAATATATTCCACCAGTTCACAGAAGGGCTTAATATATTCGTTGCCGACAGACCGGGTTCATCAACCAAGAGATATGGGACAGAAGTATCCCTCACCGGGTTCATCAACCAAAAAGAGATAATATATTCGTTGCCGAAGTATCCCCTCACCGGGTTCATCAACCAAAGTATCCCCTCACCGGGTTCATCAACCAAGAGATATGGGCTTAATATATTCGTTGCCGACAGAAGTATCCCTCACCGGGTTCATCAACCAAGAGTTCATCCCCTCACCGGGTTCATCAACCAAGAGATATGGGCTTAATATATTCGTTGCCGACAGAAGTATCCCCTCACCGGGTTCATCAACCAAGAGATATTGGGCTAATATATTCGTTGTCGACAGAATCCCTCACCAGGTTCATCAACCAAGAGATGGATGGGCTTAATATATTCGTTTTCGACAAAGTATCCTCACCGGGTTCATCAACCAAAGAGATATGGGTATATATTCGTTGCCGACAGAAGTATCCCCCTCACCGGGTTCATCAACCAAGAGATATGGGCTTAATATATTCGTTGCCGACAGAAGTATCCCTCACCGGGTTCATCAACCAAGAGATATGGGCTTAATATATTCGTTGCCGACAGAAGTATCCCCTCACCGGGTTCATCAACCAAGAGATATGGGCTTAATATATTCGTTGCCGACAGAAGTATCCCCTCACCGGGTTCATCAACCAAGAGATATGGGCTTAATATATTCGTTGCCGACAGAAGTATCCCGACAGAAGTCACCGGGTTCATCAACCAAGAGATATATTCATGGGCTTAATATATTCGTTGTCGACAGAAGTATCCCCACCGGGTTCATCAACCAAGAGATATGGGCTTAATATATTCGTTGTCGACAGAAGTATCCCTCGGGTTCATCAACCAAGAGATATGGGCTTAATATATTCGTTGCCGACAGAAGTATCCTCACCGGGTTCATCAACCAAGAGATATGGGCTTAATCATTCCCGACAGGTTCCCTCACCGGGTCATCAACCAAGAGATATGGGCTTAATATATTCGTTGCCGACAGAAGTATCCCCTCACCGGGTTCATCAACCAAGAGATATGGGCTTAATATATTCGTTGCCGACAGAAGTATCCCCTCACCGGGTTCATCAACCAAGAGATATGGGCTTAATATATTCGTTGCCGACAGAAGTATCCCCTCACCGGGTTCATCAACCAAGAGATATGGGCTTAATATATCGTTGCCGACAGAAGTATCCCTCACCGGGTTCATCAACCAAGAGATATGGGCTTAATATATTCGTTGCCGACAGAAGTATCCCCTCATCAACCAAGAGGGGCTTCATCAACCAAGAGATATGGGTTCATCAACCATATTCGTTGTCGACAGAAGTATCCCCTCACCGGGTTCATCAACCAAGGGGGTTTTAATATATTCGTTGCCGACAGAAGTATCCCCTCACCGTCTTCATCAACCAAGAGATATGGGCTTAATATATTCGTTGCCGACAGAAGTATCCCCTCACCGGGTTCATCAACCAAGAGATATGGGCTTAATATATTCGTTGCCGACAGAATTCCGGGTTGCAACCAAGAGATGGAATATATATTCGTTGCCGACAGAAGTATCCCTCACCGGGTTCACAACCAAGTATGGGCTCATCAATCAACCAAGAGATATGGGCTTAATATATTCAACCAAGAGATATGTTGTTGCCGACAGAAGTAATTTCACCGATCAACCAAGAGATGTGGGCTTAAGTATCCCTCATCCCCGTTTTGCCGACAAGTATCCCCTCACCGGGTTCATCAACCAAGAGATATGGGCCACCGTTGGTTCATCAACCAAGAGATATGGGCTTAATATATTCGTTGCCGACAGAAGTATCCCCACCGGGTTCACCCAAGGTTCATATATTCAAGAAGTATCCCTCACCGATCAACCAAGAGATATGGGCTTAATATATTCGTTGCCGACAGAAGTATCCCCTCACCGGGTTCATCAACCAAGAGATATGGGCTTAATATATTCGTTGCCGACAGAAGTATCCCCTCACCGGGTTCATCAACCAAGAGATATGGGGCTTAATATATTCGTTGCCGACAGAAGTATCCCCTCACCGGGTTCATCAACCAAGAGATGGGCTGGGCTTAATATCCTTCGTTGTCGATTCGTCAACCAGAGATGGGCTTAACAGTTGCCGAAGTATCCCCTCACCGGGTTCATCAACCAAGAGATGTGGGCTTAATATATTCGTTGCCGACAGAATATGTATCCCCTCATGGGTTCATCAACCAAGAGATATGGGCTTAATATATTCGTTGCCGACAGAAGTATCCCCTCACCGGGTTCATCAACCCCTCCACCGATCAAGTTGCCGACAGAAGTGGGCTTATGGGCTTAATATATTCGTTGCCGACAGAAGTATCCCTCACCGGGTTCATCAACCAAGACTTAATATATTCGAAACTTAATATATTCCCCTGTCGGGTTCATCAACCAAGAGATATGGGCTTAATATATTCGTTGCCGACAGAAGTATCCCCTCACCGGGTTCATCAACCAAGAGATATGGGCTTAATATATGGGACAGAAGTATACCGGGTTCATCAACCAAGAGATATGGGCTATATCGTTGCCGACAGAAGTATCCCCCTCACCGGGTTCATCAACCAAGAGATATGGGCTTAATATATCATCAACCAAAGATATGGGCTTAATATATTCGTTGCCGACAGAAGTATCCCCTCACCGGGTTCATCAACCAAGAGATATGGGCTTAATATATTCGTTGCCGACAGAAGTATCCCCTCACCGGGTTCATCAACCAAGAGATATGGGCTTAATATATTCGTTGCCGACAGAAGTATCCTCACCGGGTTCATCAACCCCCGAACCGGGTTCAAGAGATATGGGCTCAACCAAGAGATATGGGCTTATATTCGTTGCCGACAGAAGTATCCCTCACCGGGTTCATCAACCAAGAGATATATGCTAATATATTCGTTGCCGACAGAAGTATCCCCTCACCGGGTTCATCAACCAAGAGATATGGGCTTAATATATTCGTTGCCGACAGACCGTTCATCAACAAAGAGATATGGGCTTATATCCCCTCACCGGGTTCATCAACCAAGAGATATGGGCTTAATATATTCGTTGCCGACAGTTATCCCCTCACCGTCTTCATCAACCAAGAGATATGGGCTGGGTTCATCAACCAAGAGATATGGGCTTAATATATTCGTTGCCGACAGAAGTATCCCTCACCGGGTTCATCAACCAAGAGATATGGGCTTAATATATTCGTTGTCGACAGAATCAACCAAGAGATATGTATCCCCTCACCGGGTTCATCAACCAAGAGATATGGGCTTAATATATTCGTTGTCGACAGAAGTATCCCTCACCAACCAAGGTTCATCAACCAAGAGATATGGGCTTAATATATTCGTTGCCGACAGAAGTATCCCCTCACCGGGTTCATCAACCAAGAGATATGGGCTTAATATATTCGTTGCCGACAGAAGTTCATCCCAAGATATCACAGAAGTATCCCTCACCGGGTTCATCAACCAGAGATATGGGCTTAATATATTCGTTGCACAGAAGTATCCCCTCACCGGGTTCATCAACCAAAGAGATATGGGCTTAATATATTCGTTGCCGACAGAAGTATCCCCTCACCGGGTTCATCAACCAAGAGATATGGGCTTAATATATTCGTTGCCGACAGAAGTATCCCTCACCGTCTTCATCAACCAAGAGATATGGGCTTAATATATTCGTTGCCGACAGAAGTATCCCCTCACCGGGTTCATCAACCAAGAGATATGGGCTTAATATATTCGTTGCCGACAGAAGTATCCCTCACCGGGTTCATCAACCAAGAGATATGGGCTTAATATATTCGTTGCCGACAGAAGTATCCCTCACCGGGTTCATCAACCAAGAGATATGGGCTTAATATATTCATTGCCGACAGAAGTATCCTCACCGGGTTCATCAACCAAGAGATATGGGCTTAATATATTATCCCCTCACCGTTCATCAACCAAGAGATGGGCTTAATATATTCGTTGCCGACAGAAGTATCCCTCACCGGGTTCATCAACCAAGAGATGTGGGCTTAATATATTCGTTGTCGACAGAAGTATCCCCTCACCGGGTTCATCAACCAAGAGATATGGGCTTAATATATTCGTTGCCGACAGAAGTATCCCCTCACCGGGTTCATCAACCAAGAGATATGGGCTTAATATATTCGTTGCCGACAGAAGTATCCCTCACCGGGTTCATCAACCAAGAGATAAGAAGATATGGGCTTAATATATTCGTTGCCGACAGAAGTATCCCCTCACCGGGTTCATCAACCAAGAGATATGGGCTTAATATATTCGTTGCCGACAGAAGTATCCCCTCACCGGGTTCATCAACCAAGAGATATGGGCTTAATATATTCGTTGCCGACAAGTATCCCCTCACCGGGTTCATCAACCAAGAGATATGGGCTTAATATATTCGTTGCCGACAGAAGTATCCCTCACCGGGTTCACAGGCTCATCAACCAAGAGATATGTTTAATATATTCGACATTGTTGCGACAGAAGTATCCCTCACCGGGTTCATCAACCAAGAGATATGGGCTTAATATATTCGTTGTCGACAGAAGTAAGAAGAGATGGGCATCCCCGACAGAAGCATCACCGGGTTCATCAACCAAGAGATATGGGCTTTATATTCGTTGTCGACAGAAGTATCCCTCACCGTTGTCAACCAAGAGATAAGGGTTAATATATCTGTTGTCGACAGAAGTATCCTCACCGGTTCATCAACCAAGAGATATGGGATTAATATATTCGTTGCCGACAGAAGTATCCCTCACCGGGTTCATCAACCAAGAGATATGGGCTTAATATATTCGTTGCCGACAGAAGTATCCCTCACCGGGTTCATCAACCAAGAGATATGGGCTTAATATATTCGTTGCCGACAGAAGTATCCCTCACCGGGTTCATCAACCAAGAGATATGGGCTTAATATATTCGTTGCCGACAGAAGTATCCCCTCACCGGGTTATCAACCAAGAGATATGGGCTTAATATATTCATTGCCGACAGAAGTATCCCTCACCGGGTTCATCAACCAAGAGATGGGCTTAATATATTCGTTGCCGACACCCCTCACCGGTTCATCAACCAAGAGATATGGGCTTAATATATTCGTTGCCGACAGAAGTATCCCCTCACCGGGTTCATCAACCAAGAGATATGGGCTTAATATATTCGTTGCCGACAGAAGTATCCCCTCACCGGGTTCATCAACCAAGAGATGTGGGCTTAATATATTCGTTGTCGACAGAAGTATCCCCTCACCGGGTTCATCAACCAAGAGATGTGGGCTTAATATATTCGTTGTCGACAGAAGTATCCCCTCACCGGGTTCATCAACCAAGAGATATGGGCTTAATATATTCGTTGCCGACAGAAGTATCCCCTCACCGGGTTCATCAACCAAGAGATATGGGCTTAATATATTCGTTGCCGACAGAAGTATCCCCTCACCGGGTTCATCAACCAAGAGATATGGGCTTAATATATTCGTTGCCGACAGAAGTATCCCCTCACCGGGTTCATCAACCAAGAGATATGGGCTTAATATATTCGTTGCCGACAGAAGTATCCCCTCACCGGGTTCATCAACCAAGATATGGGCTTAATATATTCGTTGCCGACAGAAGTATCCCCTCACCAACCAATAGTTCATCAACCAAACCAAGAGATATGGGCTTAATATATTCGTTGCCGACAGAAGTACCGACCACGGAAGTATCCCTCACCGGGTCATCAACCAAGAGATATGGGCTTAATATATTCGTTGTCGACAGAAGTATCCCCTCACCGGGTTCATCAACCCCTCAAGAGATATGGGCTTAATATATTCATTGCCGACAGAAGTATCCCTATTCGTTGTCTTAATATATTCGTTGCCGACAGAAGTATCCCCTCACCGGGTTCATCAACCAAGAGATATGGGCTTAATATATTCGTTGCCGACAGAAGTATCCCCTCACCGGGTTCATCAACCAAGAGATATGGGCTTAATATATTCATTGCCGACAGAATCCCTCACCGGGTTCATCAACCAAGAGATATGGGCTTAATATATTCGTTGCCGACCCCCTCACCGGGTTCATATCGTTGCCGACACCGTTCATCAACCACAGATAATAATATATTCCGGTTCCCCTCACCGGGTTCATCAACCAAGAGATATGGGCTTAATATATTCGTTGCCGACAGAAGTATCCCTCACCGGGTTCATCAACCAAGAGATATGGGCTTAATATATTCGTTGCCGACAAAGTATCCCTCACCGGGTTCATCAACCAAGAGATATGGGCTTAATGTATTCGTTGCCGACAGAAGTATCCCTCACCGGGTTCATCAACCAAGAGATATGGGCTTAATATATTCGTTGCCGACAGAAGTATCCCCTCACCGGGTTCATCAACCAAGAGATATGGGCTTAATATATTCGTTGTCGACAGAAGTATCCCCTCACCGGGTTCATCAACCAAAGATATGGGCTTAATATATTCGTTGTCGACATATCCCTCACCGGGTTCATCAACCAAGAGATATGGGCTTAATATATTCGTTGCCGACAGAAGTATCCCCTCACCGGGTTCATCAACCAAGAGATATGGGCTTAATATATTCGTTGTCGACAGAAGTATCCCCTCACCGGGTTCATCAACCAAGAGATGTGGGCTTAATATATTCGTTGCCGACAGAAGTATCCTCGAACCGGGTTCATCAACCAAGAGATATGGGCTAATATATTCGTTGCCGACAGAAGTATCCCTCACCGGGTTCATCAACCAAGAGATATGGGCTTAATATATTCGTTGCCGACAGAAGTATCCCCCTCACCGGGTTCATCAACCTATGGGCTTAATATATTCGTTGCCGACAAAGATCCCCTCACATCAACCAAGAGATATGGGCTTAATATATTCGTTGCCGACAAGAGATATGGGCTATCCCCCCCCACCGGGTTCATCAACCAAGAGATATGGGCTTAATATATTCGTTGCCGACAAAGTATCCCTCACCGGGTTCATCAACCAAGAGATGTGGGCTTAATATATTCGTTGCCGACAAAGTATCCCCCTCACCGGGTTCATCAACCAAGAGATGTGGGCTTAATATATTCGTTGCCGACAGAAGTATCCCCTCACCGGGTTCATCAACCAAGAGATATGGGCTTAATATATTCGTTGTCGACAGAAGTATCCCTCACCGGGTTCATCAATATTCCAAGAAGATCCCTCACCGGGTATCAACCAAGAGATTGGGCTTAATATATTCGTTGTCGACAGAAGTATCCCCTCACCGGGTTCATCAACCAAGAGATATGGGCTTAATATATTCGTTGCCGACAGAAGTATCCCCAGAAGTCACCGGGTTCATCAACCAAGAGATATGGGCTTAATATATTCGTTGTTGACAAGTATCCCCTCACCGGGTTCATCAACCAAGAGATATGGGCTTAATATATTCGTTGTTGCATCGATCAACCAAGAATGTGGGCTTAATATATTCGTTGCCCCCCACAACCAAGAGATCCCTCACCGGGTTCATCAACCAAGAGATATGGGCTTAATATATTCGTTGCCGACAGAAGTATCCTCACCGGGTTCATCAACCAAGAGATATGGGCTTAATATATTCGTTGCCAGAAGTATCCCCTCACCGGGTTCATCAACCAAGAGATATGGGCTTAATTATTCGTTTGCCGACAGAAGTATCCCTCACCGGGTTCATCAACCAAGAGATATGGGCTTAATATATTCGTTGAAGTATCCCCTCACCGGGTCTATCAACCAGAAGTATCCCCTCACCGGGTTCATCAACGTTGCCGACAGAAGATCCCCTCACCGTCTATCAACCAAGAGATGGGCTTAATATATTCGTTGCCGACAGAAGTATCCCCTCACCGGGTTCAACCATCAACCAAGAATCAACCAAGAGATATGGGCTTAATATATTCGTTGTCGACAGAAGTATCCCCTCACCGGGTTCATCAACCAAGAGATATGGGCTTAATATATTCGTTGTCGACAGAAGTATCCCCCACCGGGTCGATCAACCAAGAATATGGGCTTATCCGACAGAAGTATCACCTCGGGTTCATCAACCAAAGAGATATGGGCTTAATATATTCGTTGCCGACAGAAGTATCCCTCACCGGGTTCATCAACCAAGAGATATGGGCTTAATATATTCGTTGCCGACAGAAGTATCCCTCACCGGGTTCATCAACCAAGAGATATGGGCTTAATATATTCGTTGCCGACAGAAGTATCCCCTCACCGGGTTCATCAACCAAGAGATTCATCCCTCACCGGGTTCATCAACCAAGAGATATGGGCTTAATATATTCGTTGCCGACAGAATCCCCTCAACCGGTTCATCAACCAAGAGATATGGGCTTAATATATTCCCCTCACCAGGTTGAGATATTAATATATTCGTTGTCGATAGGGTTCATCAACCAAGAATATATACAGCCGACAGAAGTATCCCCTCACCGGGTTCATCAACCAAGAGATATGGGCTTAATATATTTCACCGGGTTCATCAACCATGATATGGGCTTAATATATTCGTTGCCGACATCCCTCACCGGGTTCATCAACCAAGAGATATGGGCTTAATATATCCTCGACAGAAGTCCCTCACCGGGTTCATCAACCAAGAGATATGGGCTTAATATATTCGTTGCCGACAGAAGTATCCCCTCACCGGGTTCATCAACCAAGAGATGTGGGCTTAATATATTCGTTGCCGACAGAAGTATCCCCAAAGTATCACCGGGTTCATCAACCAAGAGATATGGGCTTAATATATTCGTTGTCGACAGAAGTATCCCCGAATCGGGTTCATCAACCAAGAGATATGGGCTTAATATATTCGTTGTCGACAGAAGTATCCCTCATCGGGTTCATCAACCAAGAGATATGGGCTTAATATATTCGTTGCCGACAAAGAAGTATCCCTCACCGGGTTCATCAACCAAGATAGGGCTTATATATTCGGGACAGAAGTATCCCTCACCGGGTTATCATATATATTCGTTGCCGACAGAAGTATCCCCTCACCGGGTTCATCAACCAAGAGATATGGGCTTAATATATTCGTTGCCGACAAGGGCTTAATATATTCGTTGCCGACAGAAGTATCCCCTCACCGGGTTCATCAACCAAGAGATATGGGCTTAATATATTCGTTGCCGACAGAAGTATCCCTCAACGGGTTCATCAACCAAGAGATATGGGCTTAATATATTCGTTGCCGACAGAAGTATCCCCTCATATTTCGGGTTCATCAACCAAGAGATATGGGCTTAATATATTCGTTGTCGACAGAAGTATCCTCCCATCAACCAAGAGAAATGTTCATCAACCAAGAGATATGGGCTTAATATATTCGTTGCCGACAGAAGTATCCCCTCACCGGGTTCATCAACCAAGAGATATGGGCTTAATATATCAACCAAGAGATATGGGCTTAATATATCTGTTGCCGACAGAAGTATCCCCTCACCGGGTTCATCAACCAAGAGATATGGGCTTAATATATTCGTTGCCGACAGAAGTATCCCCCTCACCGGGTTCATCAACCAAGAGATATGGGCTTAATATATTCGTTGCCGACAGAAGTATCCCCTCACCGGGTTCATCAACCAAGAGATATGGGCTTAATATATTCGTTGCCGACAGAAGTATCCCTCACCGGGTTCATCAACCAAGAGATATGGGCTTAATATATTCGTTGCCGACAGAAGTATCCCCTCACCGGGTTCATCAACCAAGAGATATGGGCTTAATATATTCGTTGCCGACAGAAGTATCCCTCACCGGGTTCATCAACCAAGAGATATGGGCTTAATATATTCGTTGCCGACAGAAGTATCCCCTCACCGGGTTCATCAACCAAGAGATATGGGCTTAATATATTCGTTGCCGACAGAAGTATCCCCTCACCGGGTTCATCAACCAAGAGATATGGGCTTAATATATTCGTTGCCGACAGAAGTATCCCTAATATATTCGTTGTCGACAGAAGTATCCGAATCGATCAACCAAGAGATCCCTAATATATTCGTTGGTTCATCAACCAAGAGATATGGGCTTAATATATTCGTTGCCGACAGAAGTATCCCCTCACCGGGTTCATCAACCAAGAGATATGGGCTTAATATATTCGTTGCCGACAGAAGTATCCCTCACCGGGTTCATCAACCAAGAGATATGGGCTTAATATATTCGTTGCCGACAGAAGTATCCCTCACCGGGTTCATCAACCAAGAGATATGGGCTTAATATATTCGTTGCCGACAGAAGTATCCCCTCACCGGGTTCATCAACCAATATGGGCTTAATATATTTCGTTGGTATCCCACCGGTCATCAACCAAGAGATAGGCTTAATATATTCGTTGCCGACAGAAGTATCCCTCACCGGGTTCATCAACCAAGAGATATGGGCTTAATGGGCTTAATATATTCGTTGCCGACAGAAGTATCCCCTCCCGGGTTCATCAACCAAGAGATATGGGCTTAATATATTCACAGAAGTATCCTGCCGTATCCCTCACCGGGTTCATCAACCAAGAGATATGGGCTTAATATATTCGTTGCCGACAGAAGTATCCCCTCACCGGGTTCATCAACCAAGAAGTATATGGGGGCTTAATATATTCGTTGCCGACAGAAGTATCCCCTCAACGGGTTCATCAACCAAGAGATATGGGCTTAATATATTCGTTGCCGACAAACCAAGAGAGTATCCCCGACAGAAGTATCCTCGAATCGGGTTCATCAACCAAGAGATGTGGGCTTAATATATTCGTTGCCGACAGAAGTATCCCCTCACCGGGTTCATCAACCAAGAGATATGGGCTTAATATATTCGTTGCCGACAGAAGTATCCCCTCACCGGGTTCATCAACCAAGAGATGTGGGCTTAATATATTCGTTGCCGACAGAAGTATCCTCGAATCGGGTTCATCAACCAAGAGATATGGGCTTAATATATTCGTTGCCGACAGAAGTATCCCCTCACCGGGTTCATCAACCAAGAGATATGGGCTTAATATATTCGTTGCCGACAGAAGTTCCTCACCGGGTTCATCAACCAAGAGATTGGGCTTAATATATTCGTTGCCGACAGAAGTATCCCCCTCGACCGGGTTCATCAACCAAGAGATATGGGCTTATTATTTCATCAAATCAAGTTATTATTATCCCTCGAATCGGGTTCATCAACCAACAGAAGATTGTTAACCAAGAGAGATTATTCGTTGCCGACAGAAGTATCCCTCTTTCATCAACCAAGAGATGACTGTTTTATTTCTTCTTCGTCACTCATTTTTGTTTCCTTGATCTGTTTTACTGGGATTTTATACCCTTCACTTTAGTCGACCCGATATATTTAATATATCTGTTTAACCTCCACCAATTGATACCAAGATATGTTTTATTCGTTCCATTGTTCCTCGAATCAATTAAGTTCTTTAGTCGTATTT